CTTACATTGCTCAGCAGCTTTAGAGCCATGTTTCTGCTTCATTATCCACAAAGACAGCACACTGCAAACCTACAAGCAGTAAGTTGAAGTGGTTATTTTACAAAATATGGTGTGTAAAACAAAACCAAGATTTGTATTAAAATTCCTCTCTGAGACACTGAGGACATAAATAAGAATCAACAGAGGTTATTTGCAGTGCTAGACACGGTATTTTGCTTCATATTTCCATTTACGGGGTTCTTTTCTTTTGTAAATTGCTGCTAAATATATATGTACTGGTCATACCAGACGGTTCAGAACTTATTTTAAAACCTAAATCCCTGGAACTAGACAAAATAATGAGCAATTTTTATGAACTCATGTTAAAAACTTGGCTTGTTTTTTGTGGTGGATAATGCTTCCAACATGGGCTCCCCATCATGCAGTCCATGTGGATTTAGTACCTTTGGAGCCAAATTTTGCCCTCACTTAACAGCTTCATAGTCCTGAGTGCTGAAATCAGGGGCTGAACAGGGTAACTGAGAGAAAGGCTTCATCATCTGTGCTCAACAAGCGTGGTTAATTCCTCAACAACACAGGGGGATTAACCCCAATTAATATAGGTTCATTTTGCTTTTGAATTACTGCTACAGATGATCTAATGATATTTACTTAACCCTTATCATAGCAGGAAAGAGCCTTTCATCTGATGTTACAGTTGAACATCTGAATTCTCCTTCACTTTCCAAAATCTCTGCAAGATGTTTGCCGCCTAACAGCTCTGACTCCCTGCATTTTTCAGCACTTCCTTTGCTTTTTTCACACCCTCCATGGGAATATTTTTGCTTAGAGGAAAGGACCATGCTACCTGCCTCCTTAGCAGCCTCCCCTGGATGAATCAGCTGTTCTATCAATGACTCTGTCTGCTGCCTGTGACACAGTCAAAGAGTGACAATGTGCTGTGTTTTGGAGAGGGCCAGTGCTGCAACCACAGCAGCCTTTTACAGAAGATATACCCAGATCCTCAAAGGGCATGTTTATGTGAACTGAGAAATTGTCCTCCTGCCAAAGATCATCCCTGGGAATGTTCCAGGCCGGGTTGGATGTGGCTCTGAGAAACCTGCTCTAGTGGAAGGTGTCCCTGCCCATGGCAGGGGTGTTGGAATGAGATCATCTTTAAGGTCATTTCCAAGTCCAACCATTATAGGATATCCTGGGCATCTTAACCCTTGGGCATGCAGAAAGCAATCCTTGATGACCAGTTCTTGATTGTGCAACTCAAGACTGAAATCAGAGCAGATGTGTGAAGGTGGATGCAAAGATGGCACAGGGCTGCCTCACTCTTTGCTCCTTGGTTGTTGTGTACAAAGCCACTTCTCAATTGCCTCAGGGTCATGATCTCGCCTATTGCGTGGGTAAGAGCTCCAAAATAGGACCCTATGATCAAAATGTCCGGAAACATGAGGACATGACATCAAAAGGCCAGTTCCGTGGTGAAGTATGGCTTTCAGGTGCCGCTGGCACCAAAGCTCAGCCCTAAAACAAAGGGGAAATCTGTATTTGGGGACATTCATGCAAAGCACTACCACTTGTTGTTCATCAGAGGTGCAAAAGCAGCTAGGGATTACCAAAAATCAAACAAACAAACAAACAAACAAACAAATCTCAAAGGGACAAGAAAAACAAAAGGAAAAGAAAGAAAATAATCCAGCTCATGAATGTAATGAACTTCAGGGAAAAAAAAAAAAAACAAACCTGATTTTTAAATTTTTTTTCCATAGGGATTAGTTAAATCATTGAACTAGTGATGTCATTGCTGAGCTCTGCAATCACCTGCCCAGAACTGCAGGGACCCACAGTGGTAGTGAGCAGCCGACTTTCCCAGGAAAGTTTTTTGTTATCCTCATATTGCTTGGTTTTTTTACACCACATCTGTGCTTGCTTCGTCATTCTGCCATCTGCTGTAACAAAATACAGACAAAGCATTTCAGAGAACAACCCCTCCACACTTTAAAATGCTCCAAGCCGGAGCATAGCCTTTTATTTCTCACAAGCTATAGTGCTTATTATACTATCCTACTCCTCCTCCTCTTCCTCCTCCTCCTGCCCCACATCCATGATGAATTACACACGCTTAGCAAGCATGGAGAGCACAGAATCCCATTCCTTTTGCCACAATGTCGCTATTAAATGAAACAAATGTTCCTGCTCTTGACTTCGCTAGGCAAACTCACTCGCTGAGAGGTCAGAGATAGCAGGTCATTATCATGAAATTTTTAATTTAGAAACCCCCAATCAGGCTCATTTCCTGTTTGGTATTGTCTGCAGATACACAATGCAAAAGCCTCGGGTTGCTAAAGAATCGAAATAACAGAGTATGAGCAGAGTGGTTTTGAGCACACACTCTGTAAAGTCCAGTCAAAGTTTCTTCCTGGTGCAGCCGCACAAATCTCTTGGTAGCAGTAAACTCTCTGCACAGACTTCATTCCTGAACACATGTTCAAAGGTGATAAAATAAATGCAGATGGTTTTCCAAAACCTCAGTGGAGCATTTTTTGCTGTTACTAAATGGACTGGAAAAAAAACTAGGAGGAAAAAGAGGAGAAAATACACTTTGACACAGACAGGCAATTTCAGAATAGCATTTGGTCATTTGGGAGAAAATCTAAATCAAATGTGTGTTTATAATGATCTATTGGCAAAACAATATTGACAGAGCATCTGAGCTGCCTAATGGAAGTGATTTTTAGAATGCTTAAATTGAACTGGTGTTGAGAGCTGAATATTTTGTTTAATTATTTAACACAAACAAAAAAAGAGTTGGATAGGAATTTTGAATTCATTGTGCCATGACCAAAGTCAACAATGAAACCATCCCTGGCTACAGTGAAAAGAGAATTAGACCTTAACAAATTTATTACAGGCTTTGTTTACAAACTCATTACAAAATTATACAGCATCTTTTGTGTACACAGGATTTACAGGAACACATTACTGATGTGTGGGATTGCATTGCTCTCTGGTTGAGATCTGCAGGTTTTTCTTCACTTGGGGCCTGATCCAGCTTCCACCGGAGAAGGTGAGATGATTTTTTTTCCCATTGACTTTAGTGGAAGCTGGATCAGATCCAGGGGGTAACACTTCCGCTCATTGTTTTCCTGGGGTGGGAAAGAGGCAGCCGGTCTAATAACCGTACACACCACACTCTGTTCTCATCTCATGTGTTTCGGATGACAGGCATATTTACTCCAAGACACTTTTGCTGGCTGCTTGTAAAATACTTGTTAAAGTCAAGAGTCAAAGACCAGTTCCTGTTTCTGGATTTACGTGGGAAATGACAAATGGCTTTCTTTGAACCTTTAAAGAATGAACCTTGATTTTCAGTGAGCAGAAATAAAGGCATTAGAATCAACTCCGATGTTGTTTACGTTGCTATAAAGCTACATTTTCTTCCCTGTCTTCATCAGATTTTCTCTGGATTTACAGTGATGTAAAGAAAAGTGACATTCACACTGCAGGAACAAGGTAGTTTCTGATTAATGGGATTCCACTAAGCTAAATTGGTCTCCTTACCTCCTCTTCTCACATGGAGATAGGCCTATGTGGCACAGTGAAACAAAGAGATCTCTGAAGTTTATGGTCCATAACTATATCGGCTCTCAGTTGCTCCCAGCGTCTGCAAACAATCTTTATTTGGGAACTCAGGGCATAAAATAAAGCTTTTAATTTACAAAAATTCTGGTGGGGCAGAACTCTGAAAAATATGCTTATTCCCCCAAGCCAAAAAATTTAGTTCAAACTTAAACTTTCCTACTAGGAAAAGTAGCAAAATCTCTGTGACGTGAGTTTTCTTTTATTTTCAAATTTTTTGCTAAGAAATGAGAAGTATTCTAATCAGATCTATCAGATACTGAGTTCCCTGTTATATTACATCCTCTCATTTTGATGACTGCCTTGGTATTGAACCTCTGAAGTTGTTACTGCTTGAAGCAAAGTTAGGATTTAGTGCTGCAAGGTGATGATACTTCCTGTGAGGCAAATACCCTGGGCTCATGTTGAAAATTGAGATGGGTCTCAAAAGCTTTGCTTCTGGCCTCCCCTGAAGAAAATACACATGTGCTCCAGCCTGGCTTTCCAAGACAGGACTGCTCCACTGCTTGGCCTCAAGGCAACCTGTCCAGCTCCCTGGTGGCTTTATGGTGTGTAGCACTTTCTGTAAGGGTTTAGGGGAGACTGCACAGTATGCTGCATTTCATGGCCTGGTGCATGTTTGAAGCTGGTTTTCCAGGAATGAAAGCTTTATGAGCAAAGGCATCCTGCAACCTCATGTCTGAGGGCTCTGATCTCATTTCCATTTGTGATGCTGAACATGCTATGGCAGTAAAAGCTGTAGCTGTAAAACCCTCAGGAAAAAAAAAAAAAAAAAAAAAAGAGGGTAAAACTTTCTGAATAAAGCCCTGACCCACAGCGCTGGCTGTGGGTTGGATCTATCTGAACGCAGATAACATGCAGCCCAATCTGAATTCTGTTCCCAGCCATGAACTTTCATTTGCTTCCTGGGAGTGGGATCCCATCCAGGGCATTGCACAGCTAATGTGTAATGGGACATCTCTTCAAGTAGTGTCATTATTTGTGTCCCCAGTGGAGCTACGTGACAATCCAAAGAAGAATCTGAGGTAAATACACGCTAGCACATTTGTCTGTCCTAAGCAACAACTCATATGTTTAATTGGGGAATTTCAGTACAACTACAGACTTCATGGATATTAGTCACCATCCATTTCATGTTCCTGTGAAAGGTACCAGGTTTGTCAAGCACTTCAACACATTTTCCCCTTGTGAAAGATGGAGGATGGATTGCTGAGGAGAAGGAAACCTTTGTACAGGCTTGTGGCTTTGATATCCATGCCAGGATATCACATCTTTCTTTACTACAATTTGCAAGCCAAAGTCTCTTTTAAGGTAAGGACACCACCAGCTTTGCTTCTAATTTAAAAACTAAGAGAAGAATGATCCAACAATGCAAGCAGAAGATAACTGATTCGTGTGAGGAGGAAGAGGCTGATCACAACAAACCATCTTTTATGTATTATATTAACAATCCATTTAGATCAGTTCTTGGCTTCAGCAAGTTTTGGCTACAAATATTTCAGATTTCTTTCATATTTTTTCAATGAAGCACTGGCAGCATTAGAAACAGTTGCAAAACAAATGTGCTTCCAAAACACAAATGGATGTTCCTGGATTACTAGCAGCCATTCTGAAATGCTAACAGAGGGAAAATGGTCATTTCACTGGCAAAACTGGCATAATACACAGAGACTTCTTTTAGGGCTACCTGATGCCTGTAAATTTGACATCATCTGCAGCCTACAACATGTATTTTGGTCATTTTTTGGTTTTGGTGGTGAGGAGTCAATGCTGCAGATGCAATTAAATATGGACGTATAGAACAAGGAATATAAATATGTACACAACTCTTGGCATTGGTCTGATTTTTAACAAGTTTACTAAATGACAGTCGCTGGTTTGACAATACTGAATGAAAAATACTGATTTTACAGATTTTACAGGAAGGTTACGGTATGCTGCCAACAAGCAGTGTCACAAATGTAGTCTAAAAAACCCCAGAGTTGGCCACGGCAGAGGCACACACCCTTTGCTCTTGTTTATTGACAGAGAAAGCTTATATACTGTAGATTTGCTGAAGTTTAATAAATAAGGTCAACTTATAATATATATAAAACAATATAAACATTTATATGCTACATGCATATCATATAATTTAAAGTAATAATTTATATAGCAAGGAGATGCAGATCTATGTTCTTCCTATTTTCCTGGACAAGGCGCACACGCAGGAGGTGTCTATCCTTATCCACCTCCAGCCCACCAGTTTGTTGTTTTCTGAAGTCAGTGCTCTGACATAAGTTTGGGATGTCTTGCATTGGGAGTTCCAGTGCTTGTCATCAATGCCGCGGCAGCCGTTTTTTACAGGCTTGGCCTCTTTACACCTCGTTTCGTAAAAGTACTGCTTAACCGGAGAGTTTCCTGTTTTAATTTCTCCCAGAACAGTCACCTGGTGTCCCCTAATGTCGATGGCGGAGGATTTGTCCGTGACCCATAAACTTTCACTGTCACAAACCGAGTATTCTCCCCGGTGGCCCCTGTGCTCTGCGTACCTCTTCCGCCGGGAGGTTCTGTTCACCACCACGGAATTCCCGATGTAATCCTCCGTCAGGTACAGTGGCGGTGGCTCCAGCGGCGTGTTGTCACTAAGGAGGACTCGGGGCGAGTTGTAGCGTCTCTGCTGCCTCAAGAGGTCTGTATCCACTGAGATAACTGGCTGGAAGTCTGATTTCACATTTTCCTCTCCATCCATCTCTTGCTGAGTGTCTATTTTCTGCACTGTGTTTTGATAGTTTTCCTTAATGTCTACCATCTGCTTAGAAAGCTTGTTTTTTAAAATGTCTGCCTGAATGAGTTTAATAATAAGAGAATTTATCGAATCTTCTGGCAAACTCCTTTGATCCATGTTGGAAGACTGGATGCCACGAAGGTAAGCGAGAAATATCACATAAAACAAGATGGACATCACCTTGTTCACCTGTAAGATCTGCAAAGAAACAGAGAGTCAAAGTTTAAACAGTTCAAGAGGGAGGTTTGCTAGAGGCTGTAAACATGAAAATCGGAAAAGTTTTTTAGTAACACCTATGTCTTTAAAGATACATATATAGAGATATAGAAACACAGGCTGTTTTTTTCTTTGAAGATGCTATTTGTTATACTTTATAATGAGTGCAACTATTTTCTCAATTTTATTTTATTTTTTTCAATGTTTCATCTATATTTTAGGCCTTCCTCTTCCCCTTTCCATGCATAGTGGCATATATATCAGTTAAGCCTTTCTCTGCAGAGGTAGGTGGTTCTTGGGATAGTATGGCTAGGGCTTGGCAGCAGGGAGAGGCCAAGTTACTTCCACAGAATTTATTCCACAGAGAAGTTTAGTGTCAAAATTGCAGGAACATGCAGAGTAGAAAATTGTCTCACTGTGTAAAATAAAAAAGTTCTGACTTTGCTGACTGTTGTCAGGTTTTGTGTGCTGAGATCTCTCAGGCCCATCAAATTCATATTTATCAAGTGGCTTCTGTTTAATGTTACCATAAGAAGGAAATAAATCCTGTGTTTCAATAGCGCTTTTGTTCTCTTTCTCCTCCTGGTAAGGGAAAGGTTTCTTGAAGGAAAATGATGTGGTAAAGTCAGAGAGTGGTGATTAGATCTCTATAATATAAATGGGGAATTCAGATGGACCCACAAACCATTTTGCAGGGGTTGTTTTCAGGACTGGGGACTGGCTTTTTTAATGGTTTTAAAAGAAGTTTCTTCATTACATTTATATAAGGTGAAACAAAACTGATATCAATTAAAAATATTCAAGGACAAATTGAGGACATCTCTCTCCCCACCAGCTCCTAAAATGGAAAAACCTTGTTCAAGGATTCACTGTTTTGGGAACTATTCCTAAAAGCGTGCTGCTTCTTTCTACTTTCACTGCTCTATATGGCTTCTGGTGGTCTCCTAATTCTACCTTCTGCCCATATTCTAGAAACTCATTTGTCACTGCTTTTTAAGCCTTTCTGTCATCTTGTTTGTGTAGCTGAGAGCCAGGAGCAACTGTCCAGAGAGGTGGTTTTTCTCCTTGTATATTTGAACACCTGCACATTTGGTATTGGCAGTTATATTTAAATTAAATAAATTTTCAGTGTAAAATCCTAAGTCATGGATGTGAATCATTTACTACAGAGCACCCCTGGTTATAAATTTGCTGTACAAGTAGTGTATTGAAAGAGAAAATACAAAACTCAGAGTGCCCTCATAGTCATAGTGATAAACCCTGACTGTAGTACTGCTTTGAGTGACTCAGGAAAGCCTTGAATTTGATTTTCCTGCTCTGCAAACACATCCACCACGTGTCAGAGACCTCTGGCACTCTGGGATGAAGGCTGAGTCACAGATAGTGGGACAGATGGAGCTGGAAGGATCCTCAGGACATCATCTAGGCCAATCTCACTGTTCACAGGAGTATCAGCCAGGTCAGCTTGCAGAGAGCTGTGCCTACTTGGGTTTGTAGTATCTCCATGGATGGAGATTCCACAACCCTCTAGACAACCCCTTCCAGTGTTTCACCACCCTTAAAAAAATCACATTTCATGTATCAGCAGTGTTTCTAATATCTCAATTTTTTCTCATTGCCTCTTGTCCTTCATGGACACACCTGACTAGAGCCTGGCTCCATCTTTATGAATCCTTTCCCTCCCTTCCTCCCTCCCTGCACCTTTATTAATCCCTTTTACACTTAAATAAGGGGGATTCCTCTGAGACTTCTCTTCTGCTGCATGAACAGTCCCAGCTCTCTCAGCCTCTTCTCCTGGTACAGTTTTCCTAATCCTTAATAATTTTCATGAATTCTCTCCTGTACTAAGAAGCCCAGAACTGGACACAGCACTCCAAATGTGCCTCACCTGTGCTGAGATGACGGCAAGGATATCCTCCCTCCTGAACAGAAAATTTTCCACTTAAAAAATCTTTTACTGTTCAACCTTCTATCCACTCTAAACAAAGCCCCATTTTGCAAGATTGAGTCCCCACTTCACAGTTTGGAACTGCAGCAAAATCAGAGCTACCCTCTGTGGATGTGAGGTGTCCTTTTATGGACAAGAAATGTGTTTTCTCCATCCTCAGTTTGTCACAGTGTGAGTTAACCTAAATCTAGACTGTTGCTTGCAGCAATGTTTTGCTTTTTTTTTTGGGGAGGGGGGTGGGAAATCGAAGATGTTCAGTTACCATATGATTATTGTCATACCTGAATAAATATTAACTTAATGTAGATGGACCTCAGAGCCCAGAGCTTTCTGGATAAAAAATTGCAGTGTGATTTTGCCTTCCCTCAGCATAGGATTTGCTGTTAAAATCAGTGAAAATATTATTAAACAGATGTCATTGAGCAGATTTCTCGCAGCACCCGGAATCTACATGCGGGGCGACACATGAGCCCACAGGATGGTGAGCAAAGCTCTGGCAAGGCTCAGCCCAAAAGCCAGAAGCATTATTCATGCCAACATGCAGCTGCATGCAATCACTGCTCTGCTCAGTCTCAAAACTAAGTGGCACTAGCAAAATACACAAGTTGGAGCAGGTGATGAGGTGGGAAAAGTAAGGCTGGAGTTCCTTCAGGCTCTCTTTAATGTCACACTGCACACATAAAGGAAAGGCTGGGGACCTGAGAGTTGGAGAAGTTAAAATGAGTTATTTTTCTTCTCCGTGGAAGAACCCTGTTAATGTGAAAAATGGTGAAAAATATTTCCCTGAACTTCATGTGAAATGTCTTATGGATTTGGTGGGAAAGATGTTAACTTTGAAATTCAACCTGTAGTTTGATTTATCCTTCACAAATTATTTGCTGCAAAAGTAAAAACATTTCAGAACAAATTTTTATATTTTTCTGGGTGCAAAACTTTGACAGAAAACACAAAGCTTGGTGAGATTACAGTTTTCAGGGAGATTCATGAGGGATGTTCAGAAATTCCAGTCCATGACTAAAAATTGTCATGCTGTCCATAAAGTCCACCACCATAAGAGTATGTCTAAAGCACTATTCTAGATAGGAAAAATGGGTGTTATTGGAAAGCTGCAGCTGGTTTATGGCCTTGGCTGTAATCTGGTTATAAGATACATTAAAAGTATATTTGTTTTCAGGTTTGAGGAGTACTGCATTTGATGAATCGCTCTTTGCCCAAAATGAAACCGTGTTCCTGTCTGAAATGAAGGTAATTTGAAAATTATTTGGCATGTGTGTTGTTAAAGCCATAAAAAGGAGAGGAAAATGTAAAACATTAAAATGTTTATCTTTTCATGTTTTCAAAGCAAATAATTCTGGTGTTTCTGGCCATGCCTCAGAAGTTCCACAATGCAATTCACAAAGTGGAACAAGTGCTTACTCAATACAGCCCAGTGAGTAAATTATCTATAGAGGGGACTTAGATTGGAGGCAAGGTTTCAGCATACATGTGGTGTCTGAGAGAATATTGACTCAAATTCCATATTCCAGAGAGGCACAAGATTCTGTGGACCTCAGCAGAAGCTACTTCAGCACACTCAGCTCTTTCTTTGGCATTTTGGAGAATGGTATAAAAATTTCACAAGAGTTCAATCCTTCACATGACTTTTCCTCTTCTTTGTTCTTTTTTTTTTTCTTAATTCGGATTGTTCATTTCAGGTGGAAAGATTTTGCTCAAGCTAAGTTTTTCATGGCTAGCTGATGTTAGTGAGATATTTTTGTTGTCCTTTATGGTGCTTCTTGGAATTTTACACATGTGAATTCCTGACAAAAGTTAATTTTGGTTGTGTTTGTGGCTGGTTTGCACTAAGCAAGTTTGACTTTGAAAATGCTGACATTTGTGACTCAGAGGAGAAAAGCAAACAGCACAGAAAAGAAAAGCTCATGCATTGCAAATCTAGTTGGTCTCCCAGCTGTGGCTTATCTTTACTATATTTTAATGGTTTGTGTTAGTGGGGTATTAATTCTGTCTTAGCTAGGTGGCTCAGGGAAGGTCTAAATTTAAGAGAAGTAAATAAGCTTATCTCTTCCTTCCATTGATAAATTCAATCGCAAATAAACTCTGGAAAACCATCTTCTGCTCTTTTCAGACTCACCACTTTATGTAGTAGTGAAAAATTTAGTTTAGTTTTGTTTGTGGTAATTTAAAAAAATATGTGCATAGCTTTATTCTGGTCAGCTTCTGAACATTCCATACAAGGAAAGAGCAAAACGTAATTTAAAATGTTCTGCAGAAAGCATGAAATCCTAATACTGTGAGAGGCTGCCTAAGTATTTACTTGGAAGTCATTGCTAAGAGGAACTGGAATAGAAAGAAAAGTGACTGGTGAGTTTTACAATCAGCATTGTAATACTCCACATGATTTATGTTAATCAGCTTGAAGTGTTTGGTACTTTCTAAAAAATTTAGGAGCAGTTTCTGTTCTTCAGACCCAGCTACTAATGATCCTTTGTGGTGGCTGACAGCTTTTCCAGGCTTTCACCAAGGAGGAAAGTGTAATTATTGTCATTGTTTGCTGAGCACTGCTTTCGCAACCTCCCAAGTTATGGATTGCCCCATTGATTCACTTTTCCTAATAACTACGGTGGGAAGAAATGCAGCCCTACTCCTCTGTGCTTTGGGGGACATGGGAAAGGTACAGAATAAGAAAAGCATTCTGAACATTCAGAAAGGCGTGAGTGTGAAACAACTGTGTCTGAAAATTTGCACTGTGTTTCAGAGTAGTTATCAACTGTTTATACAATGAGGGTTTATGAAGGTAGATTGCTGCAGAGTGCTGAATGTCCTTGCAGACACCCTCGTGAGCGCTTCCACTTCTCAGGATACGGAAACTTCAACACACACATGTTGAAGCTAAAGCTTTCACAAGAACCAGGTCCTCTAACAAGCTGAAGAATTCAGAGCCAAAATCAAGTGATGGCAGCCCAAAGTGTTAACCCTCCCATGCTGAGGGCCAACCAAACTTGGACCATTGGGTGAGGGGATTTGAAACTAATCC